GTTGCCGGTCCCGGTCCGGTACGGGGGCGACACTGAGGGTTGCAATCCGTTGCTGGACATGAAAAAAAAAAACTTTCCCTGTTGCTACTGTAAATGGAGTGTTCCAATAAGTTTTCTACCTGGTTATTGCTTGTTAAATGAGGATTATAGTTTTATATCCTCCTACTTGACCGAATTCATTTGTTGTCTGAGTTAGTTTTATCAGTAATTCTCTACAACATATATTACCATCCTGCCAGAGCTTGGGGGTAAGAAAATTTTAATTTATTTAAGGCTACTTTAATGTAGCACTGACTTACGTTAAAAGTGTTACTCACTTTATTTGATTATATAGCATTCACAACTAAAGTAGGAAAACATTGGAGGTTTCTCTTGGTCTGAGGTTCCAAGCTCTGAGGTTGTCATTTTCAGTGATTCACAAGGAAAGAAGTTGACCAGAGTTAAGCAACCAACTTCACTTATTGATACCTAACCAATCTTCGCCTTTAATTTCTTAAGAAAGCCAGCAGAACTTATTGGTTTTACTTAACTCCTTTATATTTAAGCATAGAAATTCAGTTTTTCTGAATGGATATGCATCAGAGTATTTAATATGAAGGGAAGATTTCTCAATTATAATAGAAAATTGGCAAACAGTGGTGACCCTGAATAAAACAGACAAGATTAATCCCATTCTTAAATTAACATATCAAATTGAATGATCTACATAGATTCTAGAACATATTTAATTTGTTACCAAGTGTTGTTGGAAATGTGAGAGGTTTATTACTATAAGAACCTAGAACTTCTTATATGATTCAGTACTTACATATTGTATATTACGGTAATATAAGTTCATGGAAACTAGGGCCTTTTTATATATAGCCCATAGATCTATAAATATAGTGATTTATATTAACGGATTGCTAAATATAAACCATCTTTGCAATCCTGGAATAAGTCTCAATAGGAATTGATGGATACTATGTTAATATATAATAATGTGTACATATGCATTAACAAAATATCCCAGCACTGGTTGAGACTTATTCCAGGATTGCAAACATAGTTCATATATAGCAATCCATTAATATAATTCACTATATTTGTAGATCTATGGAGAAAAATGATACTATTATTTCCATAGATGCTGAAACAGCCTTTGACAACTTTTATCACCCAAATGAAAACACTCAAGAAAACAGGAATTGATGGATACTATCTCAATATATAATAAATACATACATATACATATGTATATATGTAAATATGTATATGTGTGTGAATGTACACACGTATGTTTATATTATACATACTTAAGGGAAACAAAGCAATCCATTAATATAATTCACTATATTTGTAGATCTATGGAGAAAAATGATACTATTATTTCCATGGATGCTGAAACAGCCTTTGACAACTTTTATCGCCCAAATGAAAACACTCAAGAAAACAGGAATTGATGGATACTATCTCAATATATAATAAATACATACATATACATATGTATATATGTAAATATGTATATGTGTGTGAATGTACACATGTATGTATATATTATACATACTTAAGGGAAACCAGAAGCATTCCTACCAAAAGCAAGGTTTTCCATTATCTCCACTACTATTTAACATTCAGTTGGAGATACTGGTCAATGAATTTAGGTAGGAGAAAACAATCAGGCATGAGAATTGGAAAGATGTAAAGCTATCTTCATTTATAGATGATTCGCTAATACACTTGGGGAATATTTTTTTTCCTTTTTTTTTTGTCTTTTTTCGTGACCGGCAACGGATCGCAACCCTCAGTGTTGCGCCCGTACCGGACCGGGACCGGCAACAGGATCGCAACCCTCGGTGTTGCGCCCGCACCTCGCTCAGCCAGTGAGCTGCCGGTCTGTATGTGGGATCCGAACCCTCGGTGGGAGCGCCGCTGCACTCCCAAGTGGCGCACTGTAGCAGTGCGCCACCGGGCCGGCCCGCTTGGGGAATATTTTTAATGTGAAATTGAATTGTTTGATATTTCATTTAGAATTTTTTGCACTGATATTCATAAGTGATAATGATCTTTAATTTTATTGTTTTGTGCTATCTTTTTTGGTTTAGTGAACATTGTTATATACTGCTCCTTAAAAAAAAAAAATCAAAATTTTCTTTCATTTTTTGTGTTCTGCAACAGTTTAAATACCATTGAAACTTCTGGTT